CACTCAAACAGGTGAGTTACAGTTTTATGGAATGAGGGGAAAAAATGTTGGTTTTGGAATATATTGTGGCATTGTGTGCCCGCTGACTTTTCAAAACTCTGTTGGCTTTTTTTTTTCAGGCCTCACAGGGGACAGATGTGGAGTTGTATAATGACTTCCCAGAGCCCATAGTATTTGGAGAGAATGATGAATCTAAGTCTTCAGCAAAAAGATGCAGCTGCTAAGGGAAAACTTGAACCATCTTCTCTCTTAAGTTTTTGGAAACACACTGTCACCTTGGTTACATCACCTCCACCTCACTCCCAGAGAATGGAAACAGCCTACTGTTCTCCCTCCTCCATGCCATTGTTTATTCCATCAACACTACCCTTCACACAATGTGCTGCACATGGAAGGGCCCCCTCTATCTTTATAAACAAATGAATACACATTTCTAGCATCTCTCGCAGGAATCTTGGGGTAACCTTTGACTGATTTTCACTTTGAATGCTCAATAAATCTCTAGTTCATCTTTGCTTTTATCACTTTAAATCGATTAAGAAACTGAGTCAAACTCCACTGTGTCATGCTCTGAACTGGACTGAATATTTTTCATGTCTTTACTTCACTGGGTTTAAGTTGCTCATTTGTTGTGATGGTTATTATCTTAACAAGACCTCCTTGGAACTTTGAAGCTTGCACCACTGACAAACTCTTCTAAATACTCACATATCACACTGTTGCTAATTCAGCTGAACTGACTCCCGATGAACTACCATGTACATTTTAAGATTTTTATTTTATTTTATTCGTTTTGATTTATTTTTATAATAGACAAGCATCAGTGTACATCAGTGAACTTTTGCATCCATATATCTCCAGCATGTCCCAGAGGTCATGTGATCAGGACTTGCTGGCTCTGCAGCAAACAAAGATAGAGATAGAGTACAAAAGACATCTCTCCCTCTGAGCCTGAGATCTGTGGACTTGGTGGATTAGTTTTTAAAACTTAGATTTATAAACTTGTTTTGAAGTAATTTTTTTTGTTCTCATGTTTTAGTATTTTGTTGTTAAAAATGTTGATATTTATCTTGAAAGATCCTAAGTACATAAAAAAAAAAATTGCTATATTTTAAACATGGTCTTTAACGCTATTTAGCATTGTTTTAACATGGGAGACTGTCAGGTTTGACTTGCTTTACAAGACACCATCTAGTGGCTATTAGAGAAACTGCAATTTTGGCACCTCTGCTTTAGCTAGAGGTGTCTAGCGTTCATCCTTCCACAAAAACCACTACTACTGCTCCTCCTACTTAAACTTTTTGATAACTCAAAATATAATTTTGCCACACTTTTTCGTATATCACTTGTATCTTGTTAAAACGTGATGATCATGATCTTATCATTAATGATCATGCTGTGAGTGGTTCTATTTGTTGACTCCCACATTAAGGGTGGTGGGACTGGATATCGGGGCCTTTCTATCACCGTGTTAACAAAAGTAATATAGTCAGTCCAGTGACACACTGATACATATATTTTCATGCTTTTTATTTCAGTGTAGTCATAATACTCCTGAACTCAAACTCTTTTATTTGCCGGATTTTAATGTAATGTACTTGCATTTGGAGCTTTTCTACTGACTACTCAGAGCACTTTAGACTAAAAGTCACATTTTAACCAAACATTTCTGCAGTGTGTTATTCTATACAATTCAAGCACTTCTCACATCCACAGCCACTTTAGAATCACCAATTAACCTAAAAAGCATGTCTTTGGACTGTGGGAAGAAGCCGGTACAGGCACAGCTAGCACGTGCAAACTCCACACAAGTAGTACAATTCACCACCTGTGAATTGTGACGGATAGTGAGATGGATGAGCCACTTACGTTCTCGCTTTTTAGTGGCAGATGTGGCCACTTGGGATAAATTCACTTCTGGCAAAAGACCCAATTCACACACCTACGGTCATTTTAGAGTTGAACATTAGCCTAATCCCACACATGTCTTTGGACTGTATGCAGTTACCTGGAAAGAATACTGAAACTCAACAGAGAAAGGCCCTAGGCCCTTCTTGTTATGAGGCAACAGTGCTAATCACTGCATCACCATGCCTATAAAGATAAATTTTCTGTCTCTATTTAGCTCAGTGACAGATTGGTAACCTGTCTATGGTGTACCCTGCTTTTTGCCCTATGACAGCTGGGATAGGCTCCAGTCCCTCCTACCACCCTGAATTGGATAATCAGATGAAATTGGATGGATGGGTGCAAAACACTAAAAAGTTAGAAAAATAGCAATAGGTTCTCCTAACTTTATAGAAAAAATGGAAATCACCCAGAATAACTGCTAACATGTTGGAATGGCCTTATACAACAGAACAATGCATCCTGTTGCAGACAGGCCTCGCTCACATAAAAGCATTTCTTTTTATCCATGTTCAAAATAAGCATAGGGCTTACTAAAGTGTGTGTCACTGAGCAGTACCATGCAGTACTGTGTATTACCAGAGCCCTCAAACTCTGAAAAAATAGAATTGGAAAGGAATCAAATGAGCATCTGGTATTCTTGTTCTGCTTTCCAAGCAAAGCAAGAATACCAGAAAAAGAAGTAATACCCGCAGGCTCTTCAGGCATTACTGACAACTGCAAAAGCTGCATTCCAGTTAGGTAAGCAATTATAGCTGCTTTACTGGAATGACTTACCATTTAAGGAAACTAAAATACTAGCTGGGATTACTTGTTAAAACGTGATGATCATGATCTTATCATTAAT